TATATATATATACACTCGATCCATCAGATAAAATCGGCAAATCGAATCAGTTTATTCTCCAAAATCTACGCAATCATACATCTTCCATAATAAATTTCCAATCTTTCCTAAAAAAAAAACTATCCCCATCCATAAATACAAAACAAACTCCCTCCTGTTCCAACTCCCATCAAACCAAACCAGACATCAATGGCGAGGAAGAAGACCCAGCTAGCCTACATATCCAACCGCGCCGCTCGCCGCATAACTCTCAGAAAACGCCGCCTCGGCCTTCTCAAAAAGCTTCGCGAGCTGACGGTTCTCTGCGACGTTCCGGCGTTCGCCATTGTCTATTCGCCCCAAGGAACAGAGCCGGAGGTCTGGCCGTCGCCGGCGGCAGCAAGAGATCTCATCAAGGGGCTCGATGGCGCGGAAGGGAAGGGGAAGGAGAATAACATGATGAACCAGGAGGGGTTTTTGCAGAAGCAAATTGCGAGGGCGAGAGGCCAGTTGGGAAGAATCATGGCGGAAAACGATGAGCTTGCAGGGGAGCTTGTTCTTCTTCAGTGTCTTGGGGGTCGTTCGGTGGAGGGATTGGAAAGTTATGAGCTTGGGGTGGTTGGAGGCGCGCTTTCGCGGCGGATTGAGGCGGTGGAAGGTCGGATTTTGATGGCGGAGGATGGTGGGGTTGGGCAGGGGGAGGATTTGCCGGTGGTGATTTCGCCAGCGCCGGAGATGGGGGAGACAGTGGTGGACGGCGGAGGTTGTTGGACGGATAAGGTGTTGGAGTGGGAAGCAGAGTTGATTTCTGAGTGGGGGCAGTGGGGAACCGGTTTCTTTTTTGATGAGGGTTAGATACTCTCCCTAAATCGGAAAAATATTAACTCAAGACTGCTAACACAGGGCTATGTTCGGATTAGAATATTCGGTTGTGTTACTGGAATATTTTATCTGCATTATTTGTAAAAATGATGTGTTATTCGATTATTATATGATATTATTCGATTATTTTGTTGTGTTATTGAAATATTTCTCCGCGTTACTTGATTTAGGGCTATGTTATTCGGCATATTCCCAGTATTATTTCAATTTTCACTATGTTATTGGAATAACACAACCCCAAATCAGTAATGTGGGGGAATATTCTAATAACATTTCAGCCTCAAATCAAGTAATGCAATAAAATATTTCAATAACATTGCAAAATAATTGAATAACACCATATAATACACGAATAACATATTATTTTTACAAATAACACAGATGGAATATTCTCGTAACACAGCTGGAAATTCCAATCCGAACGTAGCTCTATGTTAGGAGTCCTGATATAATATTTTCCCTCTAAACCCAACGTGGGAGGAACTAGGGCAATTAACTCCATGTGCCCTAACTGGGTCCACTCCTGAATGTTATAATAGTTTTCAGGCAACTTTGTGAGGTCGAGACATTTGGTTATTGTTTGATTTATTGATTTTGTTTGAAATGCTTAGTTATTTTTATGAGGGAATGTCTTTTTAGTTTGATGATATAATATTAGTTGTTTAGTTTGTAGATTTGTTTTATTTAATGATTATAATTTTGTTTTATTCAATCAATAGATAGAAGTTGTGTATCACTAATAATCTTAATAATGATATGTACGTATCTTTAAACATTTATCGGACATCGAAATTTGTTATATAAGATTTGTTTGATATGTATTGACACTTGTCTGACACTATAAAATATGTGTTTGAACTTTTTTCTCGCCCAAATATATTTGGGACACCTCTACATGCATCAAATATGTGCTCAACATGATTTGAGGAAAAATTAGATGAGAAGAAAAAATAAATAAATAAATAAATAAATAATATATATACACACACACATATAGCTCTAGTTATATATCGTAGTTGAAACCGGCCCCTCTCATTATGTTGAAGCTTCCTTTAACATTGGTTAAAATCTAACATCAAAGGTTTCATAAATTTATATGTCTAATTGTAGAATATTTTAAATATTAATAGAAAATTAAGTCGGAGGAATTCCTTTAAAAGATATTATAAGCCTAATTTTGAAAACCAATTTTTATAAGCCCGAGCTTTCATAATATAAGTTAAATTTTATTCTTGAATATTTTATAATTTCTTTAATAAAAAATAATGAAAATAATATATTATATATTAATAATTAATTAAATATAAAAAAAATTGCCCATAACCAGTGGTGCCCTATTTTTTTTTTTAATTATGTCATTTCTCGTATCACATAGTGTAGTATCCGTGACCCACCATGTATTTGTGTCTATGATTCATAGCTTAGAACGCCGTATAGATTTTGAGTGAATAGATAGCGAGTTTGTGATGGAGGGGTTATGTGGAAAGTACAAGTCTTGGTTGGTTAACTTGTAAATTTTAGAGTTTAGGCCTTTGTGATGTAAATCCTTAAAAAGATGCACATTAACAAGCATAAAAAAAAAAAGGTGAAAAAGGACCAAAGCAATGATAATTTGTAAACATAGTTCATTGTTAGAAAAAATGCATGATTTCTAATTCTAATTTTAATTATCTAAAAGAAGGGGAAATAATAGTTATACCATCAAATTCTCTTTATTTAGACATCTAACCCTTTTCCCAAAAAATAAACATGCTAACAAACTCATAAATTTCACTGCCACAATCAACTCATCAAGAATGCAATGAAAATGAAAACTATTTGTCAACATTTTATCATGCTCTTCAAAATTCATATGACATTATTCCAAATAAAAAATAAATTGACAATAAACAATTGCATCTATAAAACCCAACTCATAAGCAATAATAACATTTACTCAATCACACCTATTTTCTTCATCAAGCCACCTCTCACCTCTGCTGATAAAAAACCTCTAACTTATCACACCCATGCGTCTCCCTCGTCTTCAAACAACTCAAAAGAGAAAGAAGCCAACAGCGCCGGCAACCGACGCGGTGGCCGCAAACCTCACCGCAACAAACGAAGCGGCGCTCTTTGATTTAGGGTTGACATCGGCGGCCGGATTGTAAAGCACTGGAGCGCCGATAGGAGCGGCGTCGCTATCGTTAAAGATGTCCGAGGGAGGGCTCTCGATGGGCGAAACGGCGGCGTATGGTGTGAGGATGGATGGCAATGGGGGGGCGGCCGCAGCGTCGGCGGCGGCTTGGGTTTTTGTGATTGAGAGGCCGGCGAGGAGGAGGAGGATGGGGAGAAGTATGGTGAGTCTTGCCATTTTTATGGAGGGATTTGGTGGAGGTTTTGGAAGGAAGGGGAGGGTTTATAATAGGGTGGGGGAGGAGGAGTTGGGTTTTGATTGTAACCGTTATGAGCTTTGTTTAAAGAGGAGAGATGAAGGGCGGGGAGGGGTTGGCGCGAGGGAAGGAGCGGAAGTTGGGGGGGAATGAGTGGATGGGGTGAGAGATGATTTTTTTTGTTTTTTTAAGAAAATTTTGTTTAAAAGTTGAAATTTTAAAATTTTATTTAAATAAATGTTTTGTTTTATTTTATTTTGTGCTAAATAAATTTGTCACATTTAGTGTTTATTTGAGATGGTTTTTCACTACGTTGTTTTTCAGATCATCGTCCTAATTGTGTTTGTCTGCCATTTTCTTATTTTGTTTTAGAAGTTTTTGTTATGAAAAACTAATTTTTATAATCAAATCTATCTAAATGTGGTGTGTGTGTGTGTGCGTGTGTATTTAAAAGGATTGGCTGGAGCTATGATACGAGTCCCGACCTTCCCTAATATGCCTAACAATTTAAGTATCACACTCTACACTCGGGGTGATTCGAACCTCAAACCAGAGGGGACCTACAATTGACAAACAGATGTCTGACCAACTGATATGAGTATGCGACACATATATGTTGAACGGTTATGAGTAAGTCCCCTCAGGTCACGGGTTCGATCCCTAGTGGTGTTAGGTTCTCGAATATTTAGTCACATGATGCGGGCTCTCATCATGGGGCCTAGAACGTGGGAAATTAATATTTGGGTCTCTGTCAAATATTGATTTCCTATATATATGTATATATATACTAAAAAAATTCAAATGATAACTTTTTTTACAACTACCATATTTAGACAGAATTTTCATGCAATCTTAAATGAATATAAGTTTTTTGTTTTGTTATGGTTCATGGCATTGTTTTCATTAATTATTTGGTGGTTTGGTTCAAATTTGTTAGAAAAATAAAACGGACAAAATTTACTACTAGATATTATCAAAATGATTGTCGTAAATAATAGTTGATTGATAAATAGTCATCCAGTTAAATATGATTGAAAGATTTTGTGTAAAAGTTACAAATATAACAAAGGTATATATATATATA